GTCCAGATTTTTGTTCTTGACGCTCGAGCGTTGTGTTCTCCGCTCGAGTGGGAATGTCGTATATCAGTTAGCAGCTGGGCATTTTAAAATAACTTTTTATACTCTCTCTCACTTACTTTCTAAAAAGCCATTTGAGAGCTCCTTTCTCTAAAACCATAACTTCTCTCTAAGTGTTGATCTAGCTAGGGTGTTTTCCTCACCTTTGGTCTTTACGAAAATTGGGTTGATCGTCGAGGGCTTTACTTTGATCCGAAAATTTCGAGTTTTGGAGCACGTTGAGTTTCGACATCTTCTTTCCTTGAGCTCTGAAGTTGAGGTAGGGATTCCTACTCACTATTATGGTCTTCGACATAGATTATTGGTAGTTTTGATAAGGTGTTGAAGTTGGTTGATTTTGGGACTTAGGGTTTCAAAAGGGTATGAACGAGGGTTTCTTATTTTGATTCTTAAATATGTATTTTGGGTTTCAAAATAATGACTTTGTTGTTGGTTGTTGATATATAGGCCATTGGGTCGATATTGGGAAATGAGGTGGAAAACCCTAATTTGTTGAACAAATTAATTGGTATAATTAATTTGGAAAAAATTGTGGACTTAAGGAATTGAGTTGGAAATAATGAAATTGGCTCATTAAGTTGTGAAATGATCGAGTTGGATTTATAAATCGCTCACTTTTGAAAACATTGATATTTTATCTGTTGGAACTTTTATTATCTGTTTAGAAATAATTGCTTGGGCTACCGGTGGAGGGTAGTTTTGATTGTTGTAGACAATGCATGATGATTAGGCAAACTAAAACTAATCAATTGGATATGTCATAGAGTATGACGGTTGATAGAATACATTAACGTTGTGTATTGATTGATGGTGCATATGACCTATGTGTATATACATTGTGTGTGTGGGAGGAGATAGGGGATGTACTCCACGGTTTAGGGGAAGATAGGGGATGGACCTCTAAACCGGATGTTGTTTGGGAGGAGATAGGGGATAGACTCCACTGATACAGCTCATATGCTTGTCAGATAATGTGTTGATATAACTCATAGGCTTATCTTTGGAAGTGTTGAAACAGCTCATATGCTTGTCATTGGAAGTGTTGATATAGCTAATATGCATATCTGTTGAAATGTGGATATAGCTTGTATGCTTGTCTGTCGAGATATTGATATAACTAGTGTGTTTATCTATTGTAAAATGGGAAATGTTTAATATGAGCCATTGTCTCATATAAGCGGTTGGCCAGGGTCTGAGCCGTTGATGTAAATTGTGTAATTGATAAGAAATGGAAGGTGGAATGGAATGGAAATGGGTTATGAATCGGTTTATGGAAATTGAACATTTATCCATTGCTAATGTCTTAGTCATTGCTCATACTGTGTTTAGCATATCTCTACTGGGCTGTGGCTCACCCTTTATGGGACATCATTTTCAGGTACAGGTAGCATGCCACCTCCAAGGACATAGCTTGGGAGGCTAGAGGCAGGCGGATTGTTTTGTTTATTTTCTTTTGGTGTATTACATGTAAATTCAAGCCAAGGGTTTTATGTGTATTGAGCTAGTACTCCTTTTTGTAACCAAGTGTTAACTTGAAAAGCTGTAAGCCCGTAGGGCATTTGTTTTTGTTGTTAACATGTAATACAGTTGTAAGAATTATTCTGATGAACAGAAATGGCTGGTTTCTTTTATATCAATGCATGTCTAAAATGATGGGTTTTATGTATTATTTTGAGGGCGTTACAATTTTGACATTTTAGAACAGATGGCCCGTGATATACTAACCGTTCCTATTTCTACAGTTGCTTCGGAAACAGCTTTTAGTGCAGGCGGACGGGTGCTGAGTGACTACAGGAACAGGCTTTCATCCGAAATGGTTGAGGCATTGATGATATCCAGAGATCATATGCATGCGCTTACAATAAGACAAAATTTTAGTGAAAATGAGCGAATTCAATATGATTTGGATGACATATCATCGGGCAACGCGGCTGAAATGTCTGTCTCCTCCGATGATTTTTCAACAATTTATTTTTTACTATTTCATTTCATTTCGTTTTTTTCTTGGTTTTTTTTTTTTTGTATTAGATTATTGAGGTGGAGTATAATGCAAATGATTAGTAGGCTAATACGTGCCAACCTAGTTGGGATGTACTTGATCTATGGTGATGCAATTGTTATACCATCATCAGTAATTTACACCTAATTTATTTAATAATATCAATTTTTGTAATATTTTATTTCATTTTGAAATAAAAATTATTCATTCAATAAATGTTATATAAATAATTTAATATTGTAATATTGAAAGTTTTAATTTCATATATATAAAATTATTAATTTCGAAAGAAAAAAAATTACATAATTGCATACTTTTTTAGTTATAAGTTAATAATTAAAAAAACATAAGTCATACATAATTAAATTTAAATATCACCATGAAACATTACATAACCAAACAAACATTTCATTAATCGTAACTAAAATACTCTAATATAATTTTTGTTTTTTAATTTTTTATTTCTAATATTAAAAAAAGCCCGATTAAACCCGGCTCGCGACATAAGGCCCGAGCCCAGGCCCTTATTATGAGTGGGCTTGGGTCTGGGCCCTACCTTGTGGCCCATGGGCCAGACCGGCCCGCTAAAAAAAAATGAGCCGACGAAGGCCGATTGGGCCGGCCTGGGCCATTATTACATCCTTAGCTAAATGTACAAAACTAATATGTACAGAAAAATACATAAAAGCTAAATGTACAAAACTAATATGTACAGAAAAATACATAAAAATTGGTACTATCCTTGTGTCATGTAGTCACAGAGAAAATAAAATAAATATAACACGGAAAACCAACAACGCCAATAACAAATAAACATATAATGCAACAAATTTAAACCACACATGGTGACTAATTTTGTTAATCTTTTGTTTTAAACGGGCTAGTCAAAAATCACAACGAAAATGCTTTTGGAATTTCATTGAAAATTACATGTACACTCTTTTCTTCATTAATTTCATTTAAGTAGATTATTTATTTTCTTCATTGAAAATTACATGTAAACTCTTTTCTCCATTAAGTAGATAAATAAATAAAAAAAATTATATTTCATAAAATGTCATAAATTATAATAAAATTTCATAAATTATAATAAAATGTATAAAATTCACATTTATTTTTTATATTTTTTTCTTAAATTCTATTTTTTTAATTTTATATTTATTTTGGAGGTTTTAAAAATTTATTATAACTTAATTTTTTAAGTTTACCTGTTACCTGAATAGCAAGTTAAATGTATTTTATTAATAATTGAATAGTAAGTATAGTTATTAAAAATAGTAAGTATAATCATATTAAATAATAAGTGTACTTAGGTTTGGTTTGGGAAGTGAGTTAACTTTTTAATTTTTTTGGCTATTTTTGCCTGGGGCTAAAAAGCCTAATTTGGGAAGGACTTTTGGATTTTTTATGACAGAAAGAATATAATGATTATGAATTAGATGTGATATTTTGTCTTATTTGGGTTAAAATGTTTATTTTATTTTTTGTGGCTATTTTAGTCCCAAACTCACCCAAACCCACTTCCCAAACAATGGCTTAGTTATTATGGTAAGTTGAAAACCACTTTTTGGTTTCAAAACCATTGAAAACAATCTTATTTTTTATGAAACTATATAGATTTCTTAACCTGATTTTAATTATTACCAATCAATAGCTAGATTTATTTTACTTTTAGATCTAATGGTCCAAATTTATTTATGTGTGGTACATAAGAGCATCTCTAATGGTTATTGTTATAATGTCATTGCTATTGCTATAATTTGGTAATAAATAGTGCTATTTTGCCAAATTATAGCAATGGTGCTCCAATAGTCATTTGCTATTTTGACAAATCTCAACTAACTTTCCCTCTAAATTTGTAGGTATTGTTTGGATATAGATTTTTTTGTGATTTTATTTTTGTTTATTTTTATCTTTTGTGACCTTTTTTTAACTGTCTGTAAAAAAAATTATATATTTATATTATTCCATACTAGACAAATAAAAAAATTGAAAAATTGAAAAAAAAAATAGTGTATGTATCCTTGACTTCACGTATTCATATGAGTTACATCTTGCCACTTGATATTATTTTGCAAGATTGGCAAACAATATTCAAAAACAAAATATTTGTTTTCATCTTTATGGTATAACAGTTTTGCTTGAAACATCTATATTAATAAAATATTAAATTAATTAATTAATTAATTTTTATGTGAGACAAAATTAAAAAAACTAATATAATAAATGAAAATGAAATCTTACCATATCAACTTGTGATGCCCCACTTGGATGTAGATTTTCGACTTATGCTAGACACCCACGAAATTTGGTGCAACATTTCATGATTACACCCTATCGAGATGATATAGACACTTGCGTTCTTTAGTGATCATTCTGCAGCGAACAATAATTTTCAAAAATTCTTTCCAAAAAATGAGCATGCGATTGCGAATTTCCAACAATTGGGTCTTCAGTAACGTAACACCAAGCTCTACAAATTGTCACATCTTCTTGAATAGTGAATGATTTTCGTCTTTTTGTTTTTGATGGACCTTCCATAGTAATTGGCCAAAAAAATTTAAAAAAGAAAATTCAAAAGTAATTTTGAAAGTTTGCTATCAAATGTAATTGAGATGAAGAGAGGAAAAAAGAAATATAAAATTTAAAATATGTGCTGTAAATAAAATTGAGATTGAGGTTTTTATTTATAAAAATGTAAAATATGACCGTTTGAAAAAAATATGAACGTTAATTTATAGTTAAAATTTTTTTTTTTGATTTTATTTTAGGTAAGATAAATCACCACCGTCCAATAGAGTACCTTCCAGATTGAAATAGACCCGTTGGCTCATGTTACACATTCCAAGAGAGTACCTTTACCGTTGGATGATATAGATCCAACGGCTGAGATCAAACCTTATCTGTCTATCTCTACACTACCTCTCTCATTTCCTTTTCCTCATTCGGATTTACCCCATCACTGTATCTCTCCTCTATATATCTCTTACAAACCCTATTTCTCTTCTCTCTAGCTTCGAATTGGAGACCGAATGGGGGTAGAGTTTGGGGGTTTCAGAGAGGCGTTTGGGGATGAGAGAGAGGGAGCGATTGAAGGAAGGAGAGGGAGCGAGTGAGATCACCACCAGATCGACGATCGCCGATTCATCAGGAGATAAACGATCGAAGAGACTCCTGTCTCTCACTCTTTTCGGACTCTCTTCTCTGTATATTCGAATTGGAGACCGAATGGGGGTAGAGTTTGGGGGTTTCGGAGCATCATTTCTCAAATTTGGCAGCTGCCATATTCAACCACTGGAGCATCATTTTTCAACACAGCCTGCAGCTCCAATGGCAAACCATGGGAGATGCTCTAAAAATCACCTTCATGTATCATAGAAAAATCCAGCTCAGATAGGTACAGCAGAGACAGATAGGAAAAGCCTGAAAGCCTGAAGCTCAGATAGGTACAACAGACCAATACTCAAGCCTGAAAGCCTGTGTGTCTTTCTTTATACTTTCTCCGTCGCTCTCGCTCGCTGTGTGTACATCTCATCCTTATCTTGGCCGATGGATCGATTCGATTTGCTTTCTTCAATCATAGAGCTATGCAAAGGTATATACATAACATCTTCATCTTCATCGTCATTTTCGTCGTCATCTTTTATCGCCAGATCTGCTACTTCTTTTTCCGTATCCATACAGATTATTTTATTCTTATTTAATCCTGTCTGTTTTTTGTTCATCTGCTTTGGATTTGTTCAGATCCCTAAAATGCGAGTTTGTGTTTTTCTTTCCTACTTGTTCTGCATCTTGATGCTTCATTCATGCTTATATTTGTTTATTTTGTAAATCTGATCGTCAGATTATTGTTGTTAATATCGATCTTGGATTTTCTGGTTAGGGTTTTTGTTCGATGAGATGATTTATTGGGAATGGTCTGTATATTCTGTGCAGGTAATGGTTTGTATTAGTTAGTTGGTACTTACTATGACATGCTTTACATTCAGCCCCTTTGATTATAGTTTATCTTTACGGTAAAGTTAAAAAATTATTAAAAAAGTTAAAAATCCAACAAACTATATAAAAAAAAGTCAAAAATTCTCTTTTCTTTTTATTTTTTCACATTTTTTTGTAAAAAATCAAAAAGTCGTCATAAACATACTAATTCTTTTAATGCATATTTTAATCAAAAAAACCAAAATGTTACTAAAATAGCATGTTCCTGAACGAGGCCTTAATACACTTAATCTAGTATTAATGATAAATCTAGATTCACCTATGTGTAGTAAGGCAACCCTTTTTAGTTTAATTTGATTCAATTTGTTTTTTATATTTTACTTTTAACATAAATATACAGGCATACTAGATAGAAAAACTACAAAAAGACTAACAAATATAACAAATTTTGGGCCTAAATAAGGCCTAAAAAGAAGTGAAATATAAGTTTAAAAAATTTTGAAATTTTGTCAAGTCTAAACCACAACCAACCCGATCGCACCAATCCACATCCGCCAACTAAGCAGACGGATGCGGATTAATTTTTTTCAATCCGCCTACTTTTGGGCGGACGGCGGATGGAATGTCACCCAACCCAACCTAAACCACGAGCACCCCCAGCATTCGCTATGTCATTAATTGTATATTTTAAGTTATCAATAAGAAATATATCTCATTATTTAACTGGTAAAGCTAAACAAAGAGATAAAATTACAAAAATTATATTTATGATAAAATAATTTACTTGTCATTCCTTTAAGTTCTTTAGTTTTATTGTATTCTATGTTAAAGTTTATCCAATTATATATAGTTAAAAATTCTATTAATATTTTCTATTTAAATATGTTAAAGTTTATATTTAATTGTGTGAATGCCGGGGACCTATAAAGCATTGACACTTCAAAACACGTGTCGTATCTGCGTCGGATACACGGACATGGTGGGGCACGCATCCCCTTATTTAATTAATTTATTTTTAAGGGACACGCTAGGGTCACTTTTGGGACACTAGGGACATTCTGACATTCTAACTTGTCTTTTCCCCCATTTTCTTTAATGCTTTTGATGAATGTTGGATGTTGGATGTTGTATGTTTATTATTTTTTTCTTGGATTGAAATTCTTGGATCATCTATAAAAAGATATAAATTGTAAGTATTAATTTAAAAGTTTAAATAAATAGAATTAGAGTTAATTTTTGTTAATATTGATTGTCTGTAAATGTAATATTAATCTAGATAGCAAATAAAAATATATGAAAACATATTTTACTCACTTGTTCCCGCTGTGTCCTTGTTCTCATTTTTTTGAAATTGCCATGTCCATGTTCGCATTCGTATCTGCGTCCGTGATTCTTAGGTGGGGACCACCTTGAGTCCATTCAATCGCAACTCGTTTGTAATCATCTTGATGCAGATTGAATTTTAGAAAATAAGTATTTTTATTTTATTATTTTATTGCTTATGTCCACCATAGTAGTATAGATTCGGAACAGAGTAGCAGTTTAGGAAATTGCCTTATATTTTCTTCTATTTTTGGTCGTTGTTTTTCCCTTCCAAATCTGGTTGTTTCTTAGTTAGGTCTATAATTTGCTTATAAATATTGGATGTAAGCCTTAGGGCTCTAGAGAGAGTTTTTTGATTAATATATTTTGAGTTTTATTACTCTTTGTTCCAACTTTGGTTAATTCTGTGTGAATCAATTTTGGTTGAGCCTTTAAACTCGGTATTCTTGGGGAATCAACGGGTCTAAAGAGGAGTCTTATTTCCGGTATTCTTGTGTGAATCAACGGATCTTAAGATTGTTACTATTATTTCGATAAGCACTGCATCACATCTATTGTTCTCGTTATTATTGTTGTTATTATTATTATTTATTTTACTATCAAGAGAGAGTTATAAATATTTGTAAGTGTGTAGCATCAACGAAATATATTATGTTGAGAAAAGAATTATATCATTTTATAATTTGTATTACAAAATCTTATAATTTAGCACTTCTAATTATATAGATAAATAGATATAGATATTACTATAAAAAAATTAAAACACGAGACAGCATAGTTCTTAAGGTCAAATTGTAGAGCTCGAGAGCGTCATTTCGATCCGAAAATATTGTGAATCCGGCAAAGTCAATTTTCGGGACTTTTGCTTCCTTTAGCTACTAATCTGAGATAGGAATTTTCTTAACATCATATATATATATGTTTTAACATGATTATGTGGTATTTTATTAGTTATTATGATTTGAGAAATTAGTGCTTCCTTTAACATGATTATTTTTTTGAGAAATTATGCATTAATGAGGATTAACTCTAAATTTTTGAATTGGTGTTTGAATTTGTGGAACCTTGAATTTGTGAAGATGGAATTTAAATTGAGGAAACCCTATATTTGGGGAAAATGTAGAACATTATTGGAAATGGGAGATCATTGTTGAAATTGCGAAATGTTGATGCATTGAAAATTTTGAAAATATTAAAATATTGGAAATGCTGAGAAATATTGAAATTTGATGATTTGGATATATTGAGTATATTATACTGTGGTGGTGTTGAAAAATTATACTCTAAATTATATTGTTGTAATTGAAATATTCTGTTAGAGATAATTGTTTTTGGCTATCAGTGGAGGATAACATTGATTATTGTAGAACTAATAAGCACGGACACTTCTAAGAAGGTGATGTATCCTTGTCGGACGCTGACACTCTTCAAAATATGTCCTATTTAGTAATTTTTTTTTAAAGACTTGGACACTCTTTGGGGACACTTGGTGGACACACGTCTATCGCTTAAGCACACGTGCCTATTGATTAGACACAGGTGAAATTAATTGTAAGTTTGAACAAAATAATTTAAGATATAATAATAAAACAAAAATCATATAAATTTATAGGAATTGGTGTCATATTGCATTTTTCGTTATCTTTGAATGATATATTTATATATATAACATATAATAAGTATATAAAATTATATATTTTATGCTTGTCCCCCACGTGTTGTGTCCTGCATTTTTTGAAAATAGACGTGTCGGCGTGTCCATGTTCGTGTCCATGCTTCTTAGTTGTAAAATGATTATGAAATTAGGAAAAATTGGAGAACTTTGTGAATTCATGCATCCATCCATTGCACTCTCATGGCTTTACATTGACATTGTGCTATTATTTTGAAACTGATGGATATGTTGAAATGGGGTAAATACCTTGATAAATCCGGTTAAGGGTTGTAGTTGTTTGAGAATTAAGTTGGCTTGTTCCAATTTCCTTCCAGTTAAGAGCCAGTAAAATGGTATTTGTAGTGCTCTTAAGAGATGTGCCGCCCCAGCCAAACTCCCCACCTGACAATGTCTTTCGCCCGGAGTCGTATTTACTGTCCTATATTTTGTTGAAATGAAAGCTCATTTGATTGGCTTATGAATTCTGAAAAATGCATGGCATGATTCTTGGAAAGAAACTATATTTTGGTAGGGCATATCATTTGCATAGCATGATTATAATCATATTAAGGCATATATACCTTGTTAAATTTATCTCTACTGGGCCTCATTTCAAATTACAATGATATGCTTACCCCTCGTTGAATGATCTTGGAGATCTTTTTGGAACACCAATCTCGTTTTTGTATTGTTTGTTTTCAACTTTTGAACTTTAAACTTTTGACCCCGTTTGTTTTTAGAGGTAGAATGGAGGGGATTGATAGTGAGGGGATTAAGTAAAATTGTGTTTGTTTTGATGATAGTTAGTGTAGGAATTGTTAAATTATTTTTATATAAAAAATTATAAAAAATTAAACATAAATATTTTTAAAAAAATTCCCAATATATAAAAAATAAAAATAAATAAAAAAATTTCTAATCCCCTCACTATTTTTCTAATACCATCTCTACCTCCTCCTTCCCAATCCCCCTTCTAAGGCCTTTACTAATACCAAGGGATTAGGAGTCCTCATCTCTCAAAACAAACACCCATATAGTAGTCTCACCTCAGTATCAATAATCCCAATCCCCTCCCTATAACCCCAAACAACCGGGGCCTTTATATAACCCCAAACAACCGGGGCCTTTATGTATGGGATAGAGGTCCACCCCTTTTTTGTATCAGGGTTCTTAACCTTGAAAGATGCGAGCCCGTAGGATAATTTATTTGTTTACTTTAATTCTCTTAGTTGATTTACGTGTCATGGTTTGTGTAAAAACAATGAATGTATTTTGTAACTTCCAAATAAGATATCCAATGAGAAAAAGAGAATTATTCCTATTTATGAGATTGTTAAAATTTCTAATCCCCTCACTATTTTTCTAATACCATCTCTACCTCCTTCCCAATCCCCCTTCTAAGGCATTTACTAATACCAAGGGATTAGGAGTTCTCATCTCTCAAAACAAACACCCATATAGTAGTCTCACCTCAGTATCAATAATCCCAATCCCCCAATCCCCTCCCTATAACCCCAAACAACCGAGGCCTTTATGTATGGGATAGAGGTCCACCCCTTTTTTGTATCAGGGTTCTTAACCTTGAAAGATGCGAGCCCGTAGGATATTTTATTTGTTTACTTTAATTCTCTTAGTTGATTTACGTGTCATGGTTTGTGTAAAAACAATGAATGTATTTTGTAACTTCCAAATAAGATATCCAATGAGAAAAAGAGAACTATTCCTATTTATGAGATTGTTGTATTTTATGTTTTTACAGTTTTCGCACTTAAATAATGGGTTGATAATATAAAATTAATTGTAAATTTTGGGATGTTACAGTAAATTTCTCGAAGACTATTGTAGAAAAAAGAAGTATGAAGTGTTGAAGCCTCTCGTGTTGTTCTTGTTGAAATGCCACTAGTACACAGCAGAGAAAGAAATTTAACAAGAGATTGCGAGAGAATAACCTTCAAATTATGAGAGAGTTTTTTTATCGGGTAATGTATAATTTCATTTTTTCTTCCAATTGTGTTATGGTTACACCTTTATTGATTATGATTATGATTATGATTATGATTATGATTTTATTTTATTTTATTTTATTTTATTTATTTAAAAAAGATGTTGCAAAGAGTTTAACCAATAGATATCTTCTTGCGGGGAGAGTTGACTACCGGACATTCCATGCTTTCACAACTTGGTCTAACTTGACAAACGAAGATCAATTTCTAGTGACTATATAATTTTATAAATACAAGTAGAAGCTAAGTTAGTTTAGAGAATTCTCCAATTTGGTGCGCAATCCCAATATAGCCAATGTTTTGGACTTGGGTGTAGACTACTGAAACGACTATACTGCCATAATATTTAAAAGATTCAACCTAAGCTTTTACGATTGGTTGAACATGCAATTGAACATTTATAAGTCCTATTTCGGACACTTATGCTATGTCAAGTCCTGTGTAATTTCTTATAGAGTTTCAAGTCTTATTTAGATAGGAATGTATTCCACAAGATCCTATGAGTTGTAAATAAATGGTATTAATATACTATTATACACTATAATGGCAAAACAATATATAGGAAATTGAATGTTACCATAGATCATATCTATATGAATGTGAATTTCAAAATACATGAACAAGTAACATTTTCAACATTTTCACATTTAATTTAAAAAATCGAAAACCTAGTGAGTTTGCAAAACGTAACGTGTCACGTTACGTTACGTTTATGTAATGTACCATCTGATATGGTCACGTTACGTTATGTTTATGTAGGTGTCACGTTATGCTTCGCAAACTTAATCTATGGTAACATTCAATTTCCTATATATGGTTTTACCATTATTTATGATATTAACAACTAATATTGAGGGTAATTGTGTCAACAAACTTCACACAGGACTTATGGGAACATAAGTTTTTTAGTAGGACCATATGTAGCATAAGTCTCCCTAATAGGACTTATAAATAATTTTTCCTTGTTTCTTTCATTAATTTCTTTTTTTATTTTATTTAAAAAAAATCGACTTTTTTGCTTGATTTTTCATGTGATTATGTACGTATTTATATAATTCCAGGGATCATAAATGGTATTCGAGCTTTCCATTACCAAAGACTATACCATGACAACTTAATAAACGGTGTTATAATGTCAGATAACGGTACCATTAAACTAGTGAACTTTAACTATAATAAGCAAGGTGCATATAAACTTATAAAATATGTTTCGAACTAGTATCCTATATATTTACTTCATCTTCTAGATTTGCTGTTTAAATATACATGTGTCATGCATGCTATAGGTTATTTTGAATAAGGGATGAAGAAAGATTTTGATGAGTTCCAGTTTTTGGTATTGCAAGTTGTAGAAATGTATCCCACTAAAAATGGTAATGAGATGAACATGTTGTTTTATCTCTCTTTCTTCAGCTTGAAAATGAATTATCTGATCTAAGTATAAATGGTGGCATAAGGTACTAAATTTTTTTTAAACATAATTTTTGCCCTCTTTTGCTCAAAGCAAAAAATACTGATTCTGTCGATTTTTGTATTTTTTTATATTTATTTTGTAGAACATATGCTTACTTCATGTACCACAATTCCTTGTTCGATGATGGGAATGATCGTTATAAAATAAGCCATGAGTTATGAGATTATAGCATGGTAATAGGGATAATTTTTGTACTATGATGACACGATGACACCATATACATGATCATTTGGTGGATGAGGGTACCGCCATATTTTATATTTTACAAGTTTACGAATAAGGAGAAAACTAAAGATTGATACCAATAGGCTATTAATGTTTTATCTTTTTTGAGAGACGCCTATTCTCATTTTAGAAAAATAAATTTGTACTCTTTAAATTGATAGTAGTTATTAATTTTTATTTTTGATTGCTTTATTTTATTTGATAACGTACAGAACAGTGAAATTGACGAATCAACAATAGAAAGGTACTTGAATAAATTGTTTCTTGATTTCATTCTGAAATTATATTTTAAGTTCGTCAAAAAGATAACTTGTCGATACTCAATCGTGTCTGGGTAAACAAATATTGCTAAATTATTTGTTTGTTAGTTGTTAGTCTAAAATATGTTCACTGACTTATTGTTTGTGACGTTTCTTTCTTTGTGAAGGTATGAAATTGTCCCATTTTTTCGGACGGGGCTTCCTTCCCTCCTATAGGAGGAGTTCATGAAATTGCTTCACAAAACACAGAGTTTGGGGGTAAGAAAGAAAGAAGTCACTACTACTACATACCTCCATGTTCTTACAAAATTTGTGTCTTTTACATTATAATGTTCTTTTATCGGTAGATTTGAGATTATCAATTTCTTCAAAGAACCAATTTCAAATCTGCCGATGAAAGAACATTATAATGTTAAAAATTAGCACATTTTGTAACAACATGGAGGTGTACAGTAGTAGTAGCGACTTCCTTCTTTCTTATCCCAATCTCTGTGTTCTGTGAAGCAAAATTTCATAAACTCTTCCTATGGGAAGGAAGGAAACCGAGTGCGGAAAAATGGGATAATTTCATACTTTCACAAAGAAAGAAATAGCATAAACAATTAGTCGGTGAACCTATTTGGACTAACAATTAAATAATGTGAAGATTATTTGCTTACTTAGACATGGTTTGAGTATTGACAAACTCAAAATATAATTTCGGGATGGCATCAGGAAACAATCTGTCAAAAAAGATAAAAATCAAACAACTCGTTGGTATCTGCTGTAATTTCAATCTTTGGTTTTCGCCTTACTTGTAAAATATAGAATCTGCTGGTACCCGCATTCACCAATTGATCATGTATCTAGTGTCCTTGTTTAATGTCATCATGGTATAGAAATTACCTTTATTAATCATGTTATAATCCCAAAACTTATGGATCATGTTATAACGATCATTTCCATCATCGAACAAGGGATTGTGGTACATGAAGTAAGCATATGCTCTACAAAATAAATATAAAAAAATACAAAAATTAAACAAATTAAACAAATTAGTATTTTTTTGTTTCGAGCAAGAGGAGGCAAAAATTAGGTTGTGTCACCATTTATACTTGGATTAGGGAATTTATTTTCAAGTTGAAAAAAGAGATAAAGCAACAGGTTCATCCTTACTATCATTTTTGGTGGGATATCTTTCTACAACTTGCAATACCAAAAACTTTCAAGATCTTTCTTCATCTGTTATTCGAAATCAATTATAGCATGCATGATACATATATATTTAAGTAGCAAATCTAGAAAATGGGGTGGATATATAGGATAGTAGTTCAAAACATATTTTTATAAGTTTAATATATCTATACCTTGCTTACAGTCAAAGTTCACTAGCTTAATGGTATTGCTGTTTGACACTGTAACCTCATTTATTAAGTTGTCACGGTAGTCCTTGATAATGAAGAGCTCGAATGCCATTTATGATCCCTAAATACGTACATAACCACATGAAAAATCAAACAAAAAAGTTGGTCTTTTTAAATAAAATAAAAAAAAAATTAATGAAATAAACAACTAGTCTTGCTACTTGAATGGGGTAAAGAATTCTTTTGTCACCATTAGAATTATACTTTCAAATATTATGGCAGTATGGCCATTTTGGTAGTCTACATCAGCTTCTTCTGCTTGCATTTTATAAAATCATAGTCATTGGAAATTGATCTCTGTAGACCAAGGTGTTAAAGCATGGAATCATAGTCCTTGTAACATCTTTTTAAAATAAAATAAAGTCATAATCATAATAAATACATAAATATAATAAAGCAGCATATCAGAACACAATTGGAAGAAAAAAGGGATTATACATTACCCGGTAAAACTTTCTCATAATGTGAAGTTATTCTCTCACAATATGTCACACACAGTCTTTGAAACTCCAAAACCTGATGGTGTTTGGGAAGTACTTATTCAGGAATAGTTCCTTGAATTGCTCCCAAGTTAAGGTTGAAATGTCGTGAGTACTTTTCATCAGTGATCAACTTCATCATCCAATTCATATACAGCTAGTGCAATTCGGTCGGCTCGTTCCCATTGTATCCAACATTTTCTCAATCTAGCGGAGCCAATTCTCCTCTACTCTCAGGTTTGGCATGTGATTTCGTGTATCCATTGTCTATTGAACTTTAACTTCCAAGATTAATTAAATTACTCTTAAGGAATCGCCTTTGTAAGAAGAACACAATTTAATTGACAAATTATGAACATAATGGTGGATGCCAATGACTACCCAAAAACGAGCAACCATTGCATAGATAGAGGATGGGCCATTGCAGGAACTGAAAATCCCTAATCATTTTGGAAACCAAATTTTGGAAGAATTAGGACAACAGTTAAGGGGGAATAGGCAGAATAATAGGATCCATCTTTTCTTGGAGTTTAGAAAGTCAAGGACCTCTAGGGGTTCCTGATTACAAATCTAAGCTTGGTTGTTTCTGGACCAGTCAAGGACCTCTTCTGGGTCGTTGTCCTGGGATGAGCTAATTGCTTGCCCCGATGTAAAGCATGGTGAGATCGCTGACTGGGCGGAACCCTAGTTCTCAGCTTGTGGAATGTGCCAAAACCGTAGCCCATTCTATAAATTTTTGGTCGTCTTTCTCAAGCTCGAGTGCATGCTTGAGGGCCCGATACTGACTCTTGAGTTGGCATCGGATCATAGGCCCTCTTTTGATCGGGGGTGGGATTCACTTCCTCGTAAACTTTTTTACCTCTTCGATTACACCTGAGGTCATAAATTGCGGGTCAAGAAGTTCAATGTGGTGTTGACCCAGAGAGGTCGTGGTACCAGACGTTTGTATCAGAGCCTAAGTTCAACACTATTATTTAATATGCTCTAGTTATCTTTTTCCTTATACACTAATGTATTACTATAACACTATTATTTAATATTAACTTAAAAGAGACTAATAACAGATTTCCTTTCTTTAACGTATGATAAGTTGTGACGCCTCAAATCCAAGGGTTAATATACCGAAGGTCAGAGGAGTCAATAACCACTTTAGATAATAAGTAACGCGGAGATAGATAATAATTACAATGTTACAAATTTTAATTAGTGTAACAAAACGGTTTCTAACTTCGTTTAAGATGGCTTCAAATGTCTTCGACTCCTCGTCAGCCCCATATGAGGTTGGAATGCCCAGTAAACATGATGAACAAGTAAACAATTAGAGAGTTACAAGGTCGGTAACGTACCGTGTAGCGCGAATGCCTTTACCCCGAATGCCTTCTACTGTTACGTACCGCGTGTAGCGCCAACCGAGGACCTCTAAAGAGACGGTAAAAGAGCCTTGCCCATTCCTTCCTTGCATCCTTACACCAAGCACCTAGGGTCCGAATATAACCAATCCAGTCAAGAGTTTCGAAATACCACTTGCGCAATACTTTACTTCAAATAGTGAACACGTCCCGCCAACCAATTCAATTCAATTCAAATACAACATTATCTCATATCATTATTCAATTGATCGAAACGCAGTTACCACCGCAATTAAGTTTTAAGTTAGAACAAAATTATCAAGATAATAATTTCTATATAAGCATGAGTATCATCAAAGGTCTATTGTAAGGAACGTAACTATAACATATAACATATGCAAATATCATATCAAGACGTGAACAAGTGATAATAAGCACATGCATGAAGTTAAGAACATCAATTCATTAACAAAAGTAAAAATTTCAAATTTGGTGCACTTTAAATATTGCAATTAAAGAGACATTTTTAGATTTTTCCTAAACCTGGCCTTTCCATAATTTTTATCTAGTTTTTAGAATATTTTTCAGAAGTGGCATAGCTTTTCTAGATTTTTAGTTATTTAAAAAATACTCCAGTGCTGTCTAGATTTGTACCTATTAAGAGAAAACACAAGAACACAATTAGAACACATCTGAAAATAATGTTTAAAACCTCTAAGAACATGGTATTTGAAAGAGCAAAATAAAAGGTACGGTGGTAATGTGGCTGGCTGGTTATTTGCACAATTTCTCCTCTCCACCACCAAACTCTCTCTCTCTTTTTTCTCTCTCAGCCGTTGGAGTAGTGTGTGTGTATGTGTTCAACAAGTGGGGATGAGCGTATATTTATAGAAAAAAAAATGGTAAAAAGACTACCCTTGGTTCCAATTAATTGAATAGTGCTTTGATTTAGTTTAAATATAATGGAATGAGGGATTAGGCTTAGGTCTAATTTAATTCCTTCTAATTATAAGTACATGCATATATTTCAAAAAACTTTTAACTTCACTTAACTTTCTCAAATTATTGCCAATATCAACTGATATTGGTAAAGCTGCCTTTTGCAATTTGAATTTGAGTTCAAACTTCTTAGAATTTGATTTGGAACCCAGTTTGACTATAAACCCTACCAACTTTACATGGCTTAAATGAATTATAAACCCTAATAAGTTTGTTCTGAAAGCATAAATTTGAGGGTATAGCCTTTTTGCACACTCCTCACCGGAGTGAAAAGCATGGGTTTGATTTGGAAAAATAGTTTCGTCTCCATCAGTTTGGGATTGTTCTTTCTTTCTTCCTCTTTTCTGGTTTGAGGTAGGGAATTCTTTAATGTTTTACATGATATTTAGCTTCATTATATGCTCCTTGAATAGTGTAGCACTTTGAGGGATTTGGGTTTGATTTGGATTTGATTTGGGTTTAATTTAAATTGATTTATAAAAGAGGGGTTTTGGGATGGTTTCCTTTGAAATGTTGTTGGAATGATTTTGTTGATGAAAAGTATTGGAAACTACGAAAATTGCTTTTAAATGAGGTTTTTTGAAAGAAACAGATGTTTGAAATTATGGAAATTTGGAGATTATTAGCTTAAACAATATAGGAAATGGATGAAATCTTAAAAGAATGTTATTATTCTTGTTTGAGTTGGAAAAGAGGAGATTTTGGAATTTATATCTATCACTTGGAATTTATCTTTTGAATAGAGATATCTGTTTTGGTTATCGTGGAAGATAGCATTGCTGCTTGTAGAAATTGCATATGAACTACGTTAACGAAAACCCACTGCATATGTTTTACACTCGTTTTGAGAAAATTGAGTGAAATATCTTAGTGAATCTGGTTAGGGATATGGTTATGGTTAATTAAGTTGGCCTTTGTGTCATTGTTGAAAGTTCAGAATTTTGTGTGGTTAGGATGCGATTCTTCCGGTTAGTTGCCAATAAAGTAGCTTTGGTAGTACTTTTATAGTCTACTTGCAGACACGTACCTAGAGATTCCTAGAGTGTGTATTTACTGCCCTGTTTTTTGTTTTGGAAGCAATGGTTTATAAACTGTGATATAAACTTGGCATAGTATTGTTTTGAAAAAGAGAAAGCGCATGTTTTATAATAGCATTTCGTATGCATCATACAGATCATTAAATTTATATCCACTGGGCATTAGGTCACCCTATGTGGAAACAACTTTTAGGTGCTAATAGTATGCCTCTGCCAAGGGCTTTATTTTGTAAATTCGTTTTGTATAAGCCTAAGGCTTTATATTTGTATTGGGTTTCAACCCACTTTTGTAGTAACCAAGCAATGTCTTGATTATTTGTTTCTTTTGTTTCTATATATTTGTCACATGCTCTAGATTCATAATCTAGGATTGGTGGATGTATTATTCATAATGCATGTGACGTCTTTTGTATTATTTTTTTAGGAAATCAATGAATGAAAGGTAGTTCTGGAAATGTTGGTCACGTAAATAATTGAGATTAATCAGCTTCCGCATGTATGTTTGAGAGTAATGAGGTATATCGATTGTTGTTATTTTCGGGGTGTTATTGCCATCACTTTAGTTTTTGTTTTCCTTTTCCTTTCTTGGACTCATGGTTCTAATAGGTTTTGTATTAATAGAGAGTAAAGTTGTGTTAACCATTTGCTAGTTGGCTTGGCAATGATATAAATATATCAATTAAGGCTGGTATAGTTTTCGTTTTTTTATTTGTGGTTTTCTTATTTGAACTTCCTTGAAGAAAATATTTGAATTTTTGGAAATATTTTTTGGTGTACTTTTCTTCTGTTAGATGCCTTTTCTCTACAAAATTTAATTGTATTTGCTTATATGGATTAAAAATCTGATCCTAATATTTTTGGTTGTGCTTTTTCTCTTCTTTTTGTTTTTGGGGGTGCTTCTTTTTTTTTTTTTTGTGTGTGTGTTTTATTTGACATCCATAACTACTGTCAGGAGTTCTATTTTTCTAGCAGTTGGTTTCTTACCTATTGATTTTTATATTTATCAATTTGTATCGTTTTGTTATTATTATTATATTTTTCTCTATTTAAAAAAAAAAAAAAACTCGTTTGCGGAACATGTCCAATGATGAATACGGAAGTGTGGAGCATTGAGTGTTACCCCCATGAGGAGCTGCGTGTTTCGATTGTAGTTTTCTTCAACTCGAGCAATAGACAGAGATTGGACGAACCATTGCCTGAGCCAGTGTCGCCGGAGAAAAGCTCATTTTCGACAATTTACAATATCAGATTACATGCAAAGGTTCTTCAGTAAAGAGTTGGAGGGAAAGACCTTCACAAATTACTATAGGCTTTGAAACACAAGATAGACTTGCATGTATGATTTGTGTCATATAAACAATAATGATTGTCAATGTTATTTGTGAAATTATGCATTTATAATTGTCAATGTTGAATAATTTATTCTCAACTAAAATTTGTACTCTTGTTGAACAAATTTTTATTGAAAATTATGAAGTTATAAGATGAGAAGGCAATGCTCATGGTGTAACAATATTGAGAATATTGCAAGCGATATATATTGGTGATCGATTGTACTATTTTATACATCTTTTATTTGTGCATCATAAAGGACATTGGCCACAGTACGACAGCATTTTACGAATTTATGTAACTTTTTTGTTTAGAAAAAGTTGACTAATAGTCTTTGGTTACAATGGTAAATTACAACTTAAATTAACTTTTTAAAATTTATTTGGCCAGAAACGTGAAATGTTCTTTCAGTTACAATTTATATTTTTTGTTAAAAACAAATTTAATTTGATTTTGATGATTTTTAAAATTGGTATACTTTCAGAATCTTGTGTACTTTATGAAATCCTATTTTTGTACTTAAGATGTCATTTTATTTTATTTTCTTTTCTAGAACTTTACTTTAATTTAATCTATAACATGTTCAATTAATTTGTAAAAGTTAACTTATTGTCACTAACATCTGTAAAGGTGTATTTGTAACAAAGCAACACAAGAACAAACAACAAAAATTACTGGCAGTGGACAACCGACCTAACGATAGGACGTTAGCTCTGAGATGGTTTTGGTTCTATTGAGCTCTGCATCCCCAATTGATGATTATATATAATTTGATTGTCCAAGAGGTTGTCTAGCTAGTGTAAAAGAGATTTAACAAGTAATGGTTATATGATTAATATCTAGCTGCTAAAACTTCCACTTTTCTATAAAGTGCAAGTCGTGAAACAAAGTTTTAAACAACAAAGTAGAATACGTATATGTTCGGATTGGCTGATTTGAAGAGAAAAAAAAAAAAATTGAGTGATGTGTATTTTTTTTATTTATTTGGATAACCTAAGTAGAAAGAAATGGGAAGAAATGGAGGAGAGAAAATAAACCACTATTTTTATAATACCAATTTTGTCCCTATAAAAATAAAAGAAATAAAATGATTGAAAATATAAAAGATTATTTTGGTAATATAACATAAAATAATTTCTTTTCTTTTCTTTTCTCTTAATGAAACCTAACCAAACAAGAATGAGAGAAATCACAATTATTTCATTTCTTTTATTTCTTCCTTATCCAAACAAAAAAAAGAGAAATCACAATCATTTATTTTATTTTTTTTTCTCTTATTACTTAAGTAATATTTTCTCTTCTTTTCTTTTCTTGGTTCCCAAACATAGTGAGTCTTGAAATTTCTTCTCTCTATTATTAATGTTGTATTTTACTATGAGAGTCCTCATAGCGTTTTTAAGCTTGTTATTCTCAAATCTTGCAAAGTGGAAGTTTTTCCTTTTAGAGTAAAATAACAAATATATCTTTTGAAATTTATTTAAAAATATAAATTATTTTTGTAGTTTAAAAAATTACAAATACTCATTTGTAAGAATTTTTTATTTAACAGAATTAACTAAAAAAAGAAAATTTTTCACTACTTTCTTATACAATAATAAAATTAATAAATTATTAATTGAAATAAATTTCCGATGATATTAAAAAGTATTAATTGACTTACTAATTTATTAATAAAACAATCTTTTATTATGAAATTAAAATTTTCAAAGGACATGATGAAATTAAAAGCTATTAATTAACTTAATAATTTATTTATTTTTATTTTTATTTTCGAATAAAACTAGGGGATTACGAAGCTGTTGAAGTCCAACTTCTGGGTTAGAGTTTTGGAACAAAGCCTATGTAACCCTGGTGGAGTAGTTTTTTTTTTTTTTTTTTTTTTTTTAAGAGTTAAAAATTGATAATTAAAAAATAAAAACTAAAAGTACTCTTTCACTAGTTTTAAATAATTAATTTTTTTAGTTGATTTTAATTATTTTTATCTAATAAACTATGAACAAAAATTATATTAAACAGTCTAACACATATTAAGGCTTACTTTGGCAATTAGAAAAAAAGTTAACTTATTGACTTATTTAGATTATATCATCTCTTTATTTTTTTTATATATTTTTCAAATAAAAAATAAAAAATAAAAAACAAAATTTAACTTTTTTTTTACTTCTTAAAATAGGCCTAAATTAAAATAAGGCTTTGGCTTATTTTAGCCTACTGCAATAAGTTAACCTTTTTTTTTTTTTTTTTCTTTTTTTAACTTTTTAAAATAGACCTAAATTAAAATAAGACTTTTTTACTTCCAATTCTCAATCCAAAACCCAACTATTTTAATCTATTAAAATTACCAAAAATTAAATTAATTTAGATTTTGTTTGATAACCATCAGTTTTAACTAAAAAAAATTAAAAAATTACTATAAGTTATCATATCACTATCTTTATTTTTTACATATTTTTTTTATACAAAATCAAAATATTATTAAAATAACTTATTCTTAAACGAGGCCTTACTAAAATAACTTACTTCCCAAACACTCTCAAAATAAGCTATAACCATTTCATAGAGATGCAACAAACAGCTCCTAGCAGCCGACCAAGTTAGAGAGGGCCTGTTTGATAACCATTTCGTTTTCAATTTTCAGTTTATATTTACAAAAATTTTGAAAATTGTCATAAAAATTTGTTTGATAATTTTTTTAGTTTATAAATTGTTGTCTCAGTTTATAAATTTGAGAAAAAAACGTAAACTCAAAAAATAAGTTTACGTTGGTTTTTAAACAGATATTTAAAAATTTGACTAACAAATTTTTTTTTTTAAATAATTTTTTTCAAATAATTTTTTTTTAATTATAATGTGTATGATCTAATTGTCATAGACAATAAAAAATAAAAATAAATATTTTAGACCTGAACAAATATATTTTTTAGTTTATATTTTTTAATTTTTTTAAACATTTTGTTTAAATCAAATGCATTTGTAATTTATATTTTTTTTAAAAATAAACAAAAATTAATTTATAAACATAAAAAAAAGAAAAAAAAGAAAAAGAAAGAAAAGGGTAAACGTTACCGAACGCTAATTCCTGATTGGAAAATAGATAGTCTATCTGGAGAGTAATTCCTGATTGTAAAATAGTCGAAGTCTGGAGGAGCCCTTCTAAGTGAAGAGTTGTGAAAAATTTCCAGTCTCAAATTCTCTTGATCCTTGTTTGTTTTTCATTTTCCCGAGGGAATGGCCGGAAATTTGGGATTTCTGGTTCTAATACTATCTGTAGTCTTTGTATGCGAAGCTGTGATTGTTCATCCCATTTCGGAGTCTCACCGATTTGCTGCATTAGAGCTCTTCACGCCACTCCATGGATCTTTTGGAAGGTCAAACTAAACCCTAATTAAACCCAACTTTCTTTTGATTTACTTGTAATGATCATATAAGGGCTTGATCTACTGCTCCTTCATTATTTTATTTCTTTCTGTAATTGAAAAACCCAGGTCTCTTTCTTTGTTTTTGTTTTTGGTTTTTTTGGTGTGTCCTTTTCGTTCCTGTGTTTGTCTATAAGAAATCAAGTGGTAGTGTTAGATGCTGGGTTAATTGTCAAAAAAGTTTAATTTGATGTCTAGTTTTGTTTTGTTTGGGTCTCATTCTAAATGGATTTTTATTAATTTCACTGATTACAAACAATGTGATCATATGGCTCACTTTACCCCTAAGTCTGGAGAGTAATTCCTGATTGTAAAATAGTCGAAGTCTGGACGAGCCCTTCTAGTGAAGAGTTGTGAAAAATTTCCAGTCTAATCAAATTCTCTTGATCCTTGTTTGTTTTTCATTTTCCCCAGGGAATGGCCAGAAATTTGGGATTTCTGGTTCTAATACTATCTGTAATCTTTGTATGCGAAGCTGTGATATTTCATCCCATCTCGGAATCTCACCGATTTGCTGCATTAGAGCTCTTCACGCCACTCCATGGATCTTTTGGAAGGTCAAACTAAACCCTAATTAAACCCAACTTTCGTTTGATTTACTTGTAATGATCATATAAGGGCTTGATCTACTGCTCCTTCATTATTTCTGTAATTGAAAAACCCAGGTCTCTTTCTTTGTTTTTGTTTTTGGTTTTTTTGGTGTGTCCTTTTCGTTCCTGTGTTTGTCTATAAGAAATCAAGTGGTAGTGTTAGATGCTGGGTTAATTGTCAAAAAAGTTTAATTTGATGTCTAGTTTTGTTTTGTTTGGGTCTCATTCTAAATGGATTTTTATTAATTTCACTGATTACAAACAATGTGATCCTAACGATCAATTCAGCCAAACTTATCTTGTTCAACATATGAATATAATGGCTTTCTAACAATATAACCACATCATAGTTATATATTGTCATGAATTGTTAAGTTGGTATCTATCATAGTTGCCAAATACACTATCTGATATGATTTATTTATTTATTTTTTCCCTTATGCAGTAATATTTTAAATAAATATTTTTCATACATATAATGCATTTACATCGGGCTTCGGCCACTATTACTGGCATTTTCACTAATCCATTGAACTTGAATTGTGCAATTTTAAGGCCAACAATTATCTGATTTAATGTTATATGTTTATAGCTTAGAAGAAGCTTCTGAAGCTCTAAGAACATTCGAGATTCTTGGAATTGGGAAAGAGCTTAACATAAGGGATTCTACTTGTCCCTCTGTGGTGGATACACTTGGGTCTTCGTCTTCAAGTTTAAAGGATTTGTTCTATGCACTGAGAGTCAACAAACTATTAAAATGCGAGACTAATGAGGAAGTCTTTGCGGTAACTTTAAGCTTTGGGATTGATTAGTTTTCTTAGTTTGGAATTGACTTCTATTTGAAATATCACCTACATGCTGAAATATTACATTGATCTTTGTCTTCTTTCTCTTCTAGGGCATTGTTACAAAACTTAAAGCATCTATCCATGAAGCAAATTCATTACTCGACTTCTACTATTCCATAGGAAGTTTGAGGCTTATTAAGGTAATTAATACACTGAAACAATGATGTAATTTTTACCTCATTTTGACTTAAGATCTTACCATGTTGCTGCTGCATACATGTGGCCTGTGAACGTGTTTTCTTT